TGATTCTTAGTATATGTATTTATATTTATTTCAAATGTATGTATATGTATATTTCAAATATAATTACAACGCTTGTAATAATAATTATTTTGTAATTAAAAACAAATTATTATTTTATTAATATTAATATATTTTCATTTTTTTTAATTAAAATTTTTTTTTTTTTACAGAAAAATAAAATAATAATCGAAGATTATTTTGACTCAAATCACAATATGGATCAAATACAAAAAACATCAATGGAAATAAAGTTTCCAGTACCATGGGGTCATATTGCAGCCAAAGTTTATGGTCCCTTGAAAGAAAAGAAAATTTTAATGGTACATGGTATTTTAGATAATGCAGGATCATTTGATAGGTTAGTTGAACTTCTTCCACAAGAATATCAATATGTAAACGTAGATTTACCAGGACATGGATTATCATCTCCATTCTCATATGGAACACCATTACATTTTTTTGATTATGTATATTCAATATCGCTTGTTTTAAATGCATTGAAATGGAAAACCTGCATATATATAGGACATAGTTTTGGAGCTCAAATTGGGATACATTTCAATATTTTATATCCTGGAAGATTTGAAAAAATAATAGCAATTGATGGTTTTTTATCATCTCCTGTTGAGAATGTTGTTTCTCATATTCAAGATAAATATAATTTAGATGCTTATAGTAAAAACTCTAAAACACTTTATACTAAAGATGAAATAATATATGCTTTAAAATTTAAAAGACAAGAAACATTAAAGTTAGATGCTGCAGAAGCTATGTTTGAACGTGCTGTTACTAAAGTTAATAATTTGTACAAATATAATCGTGATACAAGATTAAGATTTATGGTAAAACCATATTTTACAATAGAAGAACAAGAGAAATTTTTTATTAAATATGCAACTAAAACATTAATAATTATTGCAGATAATTCCAGTCATATAAATATTAATTTAAAATTATTAAAAATAATTCTTAATGTTTCTGACAAAAATAAAATTTCTGTAATCTTTGTAAATGGAAATCATGATGTACATAATAATTATCCTGAAAGAATAGCATTTCATATATGTAAATTTCTAAATACTAATGATTTGCAAAGTAAATTATAGTTTTATTTTTAAAAAAGAAAAATTGATGGTATTATATCATTATATGGAAATATAGGATAAATTGATATAAATAATTTTTTATTTTATATATATATAAATTTTATTGTATGTACATTGTGCTCTTATTTTGTTTGTACTTCAATTTTTGAAGTATGTAAACGTAAATGTACATTTAAGTATATTAACATATAATTATGTAAAATTGTATGCATTTTAAATTATTTAACTTTTATTCGAATTATTCCTTCAGCTTGCTGAACTTTTATACATACCTCATTACCTTGTAAAATAGAATTTTTTAACTCATCTTCTAATAATATTGCTGTATGATTCATAAATGATCCATTTCTTTTTGTATCATAATTGTGATTTAATGTTAATCTAACTTTATACCAACATACTAAAGCATTTGGCAATAATTTATTATTAGTGGCACTAATTTTTCCAAAATTTATCACACGTTCAGCAACTTCATTTTCTCTCATTTCTATCAATACATTTACATCAGATAAAGGTTCATATAAATATAAACTTGAATTCAAATCGAAAATTTGATTTATCTGTAATATCATAGATACAGTAGATTCATAAGTTATATTGTATTATTCATAAATTATATTATTTATAAGTTGTTTTTTTTTGTAACATTTTGTACTTTACCTTAAATTCATTAATATATTGTGCAATACCATAAGAAGTTGTATTAAAATTATTATGAATTTCCTGTAAAGAAAGAAAATAATTGTAAAATAATTATATACTATTTTTATATTTTTATAATTATAAATACAAAAATTATTTTAACATAGCAAATATTTTCATA